GTTGCCGTGGGGGAGACAGTAGCAAGACGGAATCTCGGGGACACTAAAATACTACGGCTCTGTTCGGCTCATCTATAAAATGTTTGTACTGATTTATACGATTAATTTATTGAAAAAATTATATCAAAATTATATCAACGGCGGCCGAACTGAACCTACGGCGCTCGGCTTGTACAAGACTTGGGCGACGGCAAGTACCGAGCTGTAGCAGCCACTGCTAGACTGAACAGCGGTAGCATCTATCTGCTGGTGTTTCCTAGGGTCTACGGAGTAGTAGTGTGCCTGTGCCGCGTGCCAGAAGTGTTGTGCCGCGTTTTCCGTGGCAGTTTCTTAAAAGAGAGAAAGCGTACTAGTAGACCGGTAGAGCAGCCGTATGCCCGTACGTATCGTATGGCGAGGTGTAGTAGTATAGTAGGAGTATCTCTTGGATGGGGCGGGCGGGGTACCGTATAAAGCGACAGCCAGCCTATTCGCTTAGCTTACTTTTATCACCCATGATACAATATTTTTCTCTCGTAATGATCCAGCACCCGCTAGAATTATCCGTTCCAGAAGCCGACCAGCCAAAAAGAAACCCGAAACCGGAACCCAGTAAAACGGAAGGGACGGGGAGGCAGCCGCAGCTGAGCTGCGCTGGGTTGGTCGGTGGATCTACCTTGCGGCAGCACCGGCGCTGTCACCGCCACCAACGCCTCCACAACCCATCCATCAGGGCGGGCGCATCCACGCATGTGAGCATCATGTGATGGAACAATTCCATTCCATTTGGACGCACCCTTGCTTTTTTCCACTTGTGTCGCAGTCGCAGTTCCAGACAGGGCAGAGAGCACCACCCCCCATCCGCCCCGTAAAAAGCTACCCAGCCCAGCCAGCCGCAGCACCCAGCAGCCACCACCACTACTACCAATTGCGCAGTGCAGTCAGCGCTCCTTGTACTGCTACTACTACTGCAGAGTGGTGGTAGTACTCCAGTATGGCTACATACTAGCGGTATTTTATGGGTCCTCTGGAAATGGCAGTACCAGTACTCAAGTACACAGAGTTTTTTCACATCACGCACCGTGCTTTATTAGTTCGTGAGCCCTGTCAGGGGGGCCTTAACTCTACATTATGGTTGCTAGCTGATTCAGCAGCCAGCTAGCTATAGGCTCGTTTGAGCCCCAACCGGGGCGTAAAGCGCCGCCTGCCTTTCACTGAACATGCCACACACATGCACGCCATACACGCAAGAAGCAGCGATGGGCCGGAGTGGAACGGCAGGAGCGAGCATGCATGCATGCATATATGGTCGCGTTGGGGCCGGGCGCCCGGGCCGTGCCACAGCCAGTTGTGCGCTCCTATTAGCGGCAACCAGATCTGCACATTTCCAGGCAACAGTGCTGGCATGATGCGTGTACTTGCACTACCCGGGCCCCGTCGTCGTCGCCGTCGCCGCCCGGCCGGTGGCAGATCCATCTTGGCGGAGCGGAGGATCGGAAGACGGGGAGAGCTTTTCTCTCGGTCGGTCGCGCGGCCGACCATGATCTCGACGCGATGGTTCCTTCGGGGCTAGCGCGCGGGCCTCGGCAGTTTGGTTGGCTTTGGCTCGTCGCTCGGTCCGGTGTCCGGTCCGCGGGCGCATCACATGACGCATGGTTGGGTTCTTCGATCTGGCTGCTCCGTATCTCTCAACGAAAAGCTAGCGACGGGACAGGTCTCGACGGGTGATACATCCTTGTTACGGCCGCGTTTCGGCCGGACGGAGCGGACGTACGATTAATTGTTTCTCCTTGTTGCCTGCGGCCGTGCAACAGCAAATACTCCTGCCTCCTGTAGGTGTAGGGGCGGCTGTAGAATTCAATTGCTGCCTGGCAGAAAAACACACGCGCCTCCGTTTCAAGAGTAACAGCAAGGCACCGATAGATGCTCGTCGTTCGGTGGGAAGTGAGTTCCCGGGGTACACAGGTACAGCAGCAGCCAGCAGTGCGTGCATGTAGAAAGAGAGGTCAGAGATGTCGCGGCGGGACAAAACAAACAAAGCTCACGCTGATGACGTGAACGATCCGGGCATGCATGCATGCACGCATACGGACGAAACAGACGGGGAATTCTCCGGTCCTCCCTCCCTGCCGCTTGTACGTACCACCACTCACCACCAGTCACCACCACGCACGCCACTGCCCTGCCCCCGGCCTGACATCACCGGAACGCACTCCTCGCCGCCCAGCCCAGCAGAAAAAGGTCAAATCACCTTTGATTATGCGTCCCACATTACATTATTATTGCAAAAGATAATGTATCAATAATGTTAGCTGCCAGCCTGAGAGGGAAAAAAAACACACACCGAGAGAGAGGTCGATGGCGATGCGTTGTCGCTTTTCATTTATGTCGCGTTTCAACGTGGGGTAAAAATGGTCGTGCTGCACTGGCCTACACGCCCTTGGCTTTCGGTCATCCGCCACTTTGGTTGGAGATTCTCCGTCCCGTCCCCCCCTCCACCACTCCACGTCCACGCCCTGAATCCTAGAGAGAGAGGCCAGCCAGGCGCAAGTACACTGTGAAAAAACATTCCATTATAACAACAGAAAAAAAAAGCGGGATGGCAAGCCAAGTACAAGCTCCGCGACGTTTTCAGCTGCTGGATCTATCCACGTACGTGCGCGCCAGTGCATCCATTATCTAGTAGTAGTACTATTTATTTGAGATTCTCCCATTTCTGACACAGGATATATATATGCATTTTGAATCATCTAAAATCACACAGGTTTTGATTTTGAATCCCTGCGATATGATGGCCCTTAGAGCCGCCAATAGGCACCGTCCAGATCCAATCAATCGGTTAAACTTTTTTTTTTGGGTCTCAAAATACGAGGCAGGAGGAGCCGTCCAATGGGAAGGTGACAGTTTTTTTAACGCGACTGGCTGATTTTCGAGATAACAGTGGGATTAAGCATGGTAACCGAGGTCACAGTAAAAGCCTAGAAAAGGGTAAAGGTAAGGGAGAATTATGTATTTGGCACTGAAACAAATTAGTCTTCTCGTATTTGGCATTAAAAAATTTGAACTTTCTTATTTGGCACCAAGTTAAAATTTCCTTCCCTAGATAACACTGCCGTCCATTTAGGCTAGTAACGGCGTCAAGTGGCTGGTAAAACGACACGAATGCCCTTCTCTTTTGATAATCGAAGTCCGCAAATAAATAAATAATCGAAGTCTGCACCATAGACACACGCCTATATATACTGAAAAGATTATAATAACAGCACAATGCATTCAGGCATGGTCTTTTTTTTGCCAGAACAACGACCCTATGTATAATCAAAATAAATGCGTACACACAGAAAATGAATTCAAGGGATCAGAGGCATAATCAAAATGAATACCGTACGAAGACCAAGCAAGCTTAGGGAGGAAGAAATGGAGCAAAGCATGTATTTACAGAAGCGCTATCCATTCACAGATGTACGGATACGCTAAACTAATATGGAGATGGGGATGGGGATTAATGGGGAGAATCGGTGTACCATCATAAACAAAGAAGGAGATTTGGGGGAAAGAACACCATCTTTTGCAAATCCAAGGCACAGATGTGTTCCCGTTGCAAGAAAACGAATGGATCTATATTCATCTATGCATCAGTACGTAATAAATGGGGAGATGGGGATGGAGGAAAGCACCTGAATCCCTCAACCCGCAGTACAAATGAGAGGAGGGAAACAGAGGAGACTGCAATGGGACCAACACAGAGGAGAGGAATGACCTTGCTTCACCTGGGAGACACCACGAATGGAGCAGGGGGCGCCACTGTGCACGGACAGAGGGGACTGCAGGGGATGGCCGGTGACAGAGAGGCCGAACCTGAGGTCGGCGCTGCCGCCGCGCTGGGGGCCCACCGTCACCCTGCCTGTGCGGCACGAGGGGGCGTGGACGAGGAGAAGGGCGGCCGTCGCCGCGCGGAGGCCGGCCACCGCGGAGGTCTGCCCGTGCCGCCGCCCTACCCGCGTCGGGGGAGATGGGGAGAGAGGGAGGGGAAGAGAAGAGACTGCCTGGACTCACCCGTGCGGGGGACGGAATGGCGCTGTGCGTGAGTAACAGAGGGTAAGTTGGTCACACTAACCCAAAAAAGTGACACGGTCAAAATAGTCAACTAACAGATGAATGGATGAAATGGACGGTAGCGCCATATAGGAAGAAAATTTTAACTTGGTGCCAGATAAAAAAATTCAAAATTTTAAATATTAAATATAAAAAACTGATTTATTTTAGTGCCAAACACGTAATTCTATCTAAAGATAACTAGCGAGCCATTTGGTCCCCCGGGCTAAGCACGTGGGTATCCCCTCCATATATATATACGCCTTTCCCCCCACCGCTCCGGGCCTCGCCCCCCATGCCCTCCGCGTCTCACTGACGGTGGCCCCCCACCGCCCGACGCCCGCCCGGCCCCGCTCGTCGGCGAGCCCCCCTTCCTTCCTTCCCCTCCGCTCCACCGCTGTCCCGGCCTAGAGATCCGGCCGACTCCGGTGAGCTACCGCTCTCGCCGCGCGCCCGGCGCCGCCCGCTCCGCCGAGCGGGCGGTCGCCACATTTCGTTCATTTTTTTGGGGCGAGGTGACGTTGACGCGAGTGTAACCGCTTTCCTCATGGCCCGTACCTCGCAGGTTGCTCGGAGGCCGGCGAGCCGCGCGTGCTGGGCGCCGGGATGCAGGCGGCCGGCGCCAGCCGGTGGCCCGGATCTCGCCGGCGGCGCGTCTCGGCGAGGTGAGGCGCCTCAATTCTCTCGTGTTCACCTCTTTCGTTTCCGTTCCAAAGCGGGGTGCTGTTTTTTTTGGTGGTTGTTGTCTGTTAGTATCTAGCTTCTTTGACGTTTTGGATCTGAAGGGGAAATGACGAACATTGTAATTGCTACCTCTGCCTATTGTATTTAATTGCTGTGTTTAAGGCTTCTTTTCTGTTTAATTTTAGGCTTTGTTGACTAAATGAGACCTGCAAGAGCTAAAAGTGGCAGTGATTGACGTTCAGATGAGTCCATTTGTACTGGCTGTGGTGAGCATTGCATTTCTCAACTTGCAGTTCCTGCAAGCTCATGGAAGCGAACTGCTTCTGAGCTGTGGCTCCAACGGCACTGTTGGTGCTGATGGGCGGAGATGGACCGGGGACATGACCCCTGAGGGGAATTTTACCTTGAGCAGTCCTGGGCTTGCTGCATCACTGGTCGGAAAGAGCAATTCCGATGAGATATTCGGACCGCTTTACAGTTCTGCCCGTTTCTTTGATGCGGCAACTTGGTATACCATTAGTGTGCTGCCAGGAAGTTACTGTGTCAGATTGCATTTCTTCCCTTCGACATTTGGGAATTTCAGTGCAAACAATTCTGTGTTTGATGTCACAGCAAATGATTTCAAGCTTGTTTCAAAATTCAATGTGTCAGAGGAGATTGCTTGGAGAGCCTCTGTGAGCAATTCAGTCATCAGTGCAGTTGTCAAGGAGTACTTTCTCGTAGTTGGTGCTCGTGGCCTGAATATTGAGTTTGATCCAAGACCTGGGTCGTTTGCTTTTGTGAATGCAATTGAGGTCATGCTGGCCCCAGATAATTTGTTCAATGATACAGTGAGCAAAGTTGGCAGTGCAGGCATGCAACTTCCTCTTGGCTTGCGCGGCAGAGGTGTTGAGACAATGTACCGGCTGAACATTGGAGGTCCTGCACTTAAATCGGCCAGTGATCAGTATCTCCATAGGCCATGGTACACTGATGAAGCATTCATGTTTTCTACAAATGCTGCTCAGACTGTGTCTAATGTTTCAAGCATAATGTATGTATCAAGCAACGACTCATCAATTGCGCCAATTGATGTTTACGAGACTGCAAGAATCATGAGCAATAACATGGTTGTGGACAAGCGGTTTAACGTGTCATGGCGATTCTATGTCCACCCAAACTTTGATTACTTAGTCCGCCTTCATTTCTGTGAGCTTGTCTATGACAAGCCCAGCCAGAGGATCTTCAAGATCTACATCAATAACAAGACTGCTGCTGAGAACTATGATGTGTATGTTAGGGCTGGGGGAATTAATAAAGCACATCATGAGGACTTCTTTGACAACTCAACACAGCAGGCAGACTCACTTTGGCTGCAGCTAGGCCCTGATTCCATGACCAGTGCCTCAGGTACTGATGCACTTCTGAATGGTTTGGAGATATTCAAGCTCAGCAAGGATTCCGACCTTTCTTACGTGCTTGGTCATATTGACACGGGCAACCAAAGGGGTTCTTCAAAAAGGGGAAAGAATAAAGGTCTATGGGAAGAAGTTGGTATTGGCTCAGCATCTTTAGTTGTAGTTACAAGTGTTGTTCTGTTCTCTTGGTGTTATATAAGAAAGAAACGAAAAGCTGTCAAGAAGGAGGCCCCTCCCGGCTGGCATCCGTTGGTTCTCCATGAGGCTATGAAAAGCACTACAGATGCCCGTGCAACCAGTAAATCGTCCTTGGCACGAAATGCCTCTTCCATCGGTCATAGGATGGGAAGAAGATTCGGCATTGCAGAGATTAGGGCTGCCACGAAGAATTTTGATGAGTCCTTAATCATTGGAACTGGAGGATTTGGAAAGGTCTACAAAGGTGAGATCGATGAGGGCACTACAGTGGCTATCAAGCGTGCTAATACATTATGTGGCCAGGGTCTAAAAGAATTTGAAACAGAGATTGAGATGCTTTCCAAGCTTCGGCACCGGCACCTTGTTGCAATGATTGGCTACTGTGAAGAGCAGAAAGAGATGATTCTAGTTTACGAATACATGGCTAAGGGAACACTGAGAAGCCATCTCTATGGGAGCAACCTTCCTCCTCTGACATGGAAGCAACGGATTGATGCATGCATTGGTGCGGCCCGTGGCCTTCACTACCTCCACACAGGAGCGGACCGAGGTATAATCCACAGGGATGTAAAGACCACTAACATTCTGTTGGACGAGAATTTTGTTGCAAAAATAGCAGACTTTGGGCTGTCAAAAACTGGACCAACGCTCGACCAAACCCATGTTAGCACTGTAGTCAGGGGAAGCTTTGGATACCTAGATCCTGAGTACTTCCGGAGGCAGCAACTCACACAAAAATCCGATGTGTATTCTTTTGGAGTGGTGCTCTTTGAAGTTGCCTGTGCAAGGTCTGTGATAGATCCCACATTGCCAAAGGATCAAATCAACTTGGCAGAGTGGGCGATGAGGTGGCAGCGCCAGCGCTCGCTGGAAGCAATCATGGATCCTCGTCTGGATGGTGACTTCTCATCAGAATCCCTGAAGAAGTTTGGTGAGATTGCGGAGAAATGTCTCGCTGATGATGGGAGAAGCAGGCCATCAATGGGTGAGGTCCTGTGGCACCTTGAGTATGTGCTGCAGCTCCATGAAGCTTACAAGCGAAATGTAGAGTCTGAATCGTTTGGAAGCGGTGAATTGGGATTCGCTGATATATCCTTTAGCCTTCCTCACATCAGAGAGGGGGAAGAGGAACGCCACTCTAAGCCATCAAGTATCAGAGAGGAACTAGACACATGAGAACTTCTGACTTCAGCAAAACCCACTGAAAAATCTTGCTTTGTAGCCATGATTATGATGTAAAGTTGTGTTATATTGTTCTCTTAGGTTTTTTTAGCTATGTCAGTTGATTCTTATTCCTTTGGGTGTTCTCCTGCTTGACAACTGTAGAATAATAGGACTTTTTTCTGTAGATTACCAAACCCCCCAAAAAAAGAAGCAGAAGTGTCAAGAGTTTAGGAGTAAATCATGCATGGGAAGATTCAATGTGGATATTCTCCGTGGCCACAATGAGGATGTACGTGCTGTGTTCCTTTTGGTATCAGCAAACCATTCACAGGCGGTCGCGATTCTGTGGTTAGGATGTGGAAAATGGAGGAAGGGTTATTGATTGATACATCCCGTGCACTTGGTGGTACCATCCGGGCGATTGCAGCTGACTCTAGGCTTTTAGTGAGTGGAGGAACTAATGCCTATATCCAGTGTTGGAGGGCTGTTGAAGGCAATGATCACTTATTTCACATCTCTGGAAGTGGTACTGACCAGAATGCGGAGTTTCGCCTCTGGGGGCATGAAGGTCCTGTGACTTGTCTTGCCTTGGATTCACTGAGGATTTATAGTGGTTCTTGGGACATGACTGTTCGTGTTTGGGACAGAGCCCAGATGTAGTGTGTGCAAAAGTTCATGCACGCAGACTGGGTGTGGTCTCTTGCTCTGCGTGGAAATACTGTTGCCAGTACTGCTGGTAGAGATGCATATGTATGGGATATCAGGGACGGCGAGTTAACAAGCTTAGTTTCCAATGCCCATGTTGGTAACGCATATTCATTGGCTTGGACACACCTGGCGGATGTGCTGTTTACTGGTGGAGAGGATGGCGCTATTCGCTTGTTCAATGTTTCTGATGTCTCTGATGATGAGGAGGACATTAAACCAGTGGCAACTTGGGTGCCACATTCAGGTCCTGTTCATTCTCTTGCTTTTGAGTATCCATGGCTTGTGTCTGCCTCGAGTGATGGCAGGATCGCACTTATTGATCTGAGGAAGCTTCTGACCCCCAAAAGATCATCAAAGGGTCTGCGTGTTAAGAGCTTTGATGCAAGCGCAATAGAGCCTCCACAGAGGATGCTTCATGGCGTTGGATGTGATCTTCTCCATCGCCATTGGTGCAGATAGGATTGTATGTGCGGGTGAGGATGGTTCTGTTAGAGTCTGGAACTTCTCTGAAGCACTGGAGATTGAGAGGAGGGCACAGGCTCTTAGGAGTTTGAGGCAGGAGAACCGCATGAGGCGGAGGAAGGCACAAGTAGAGATGAATGCAAATGGTAGAAGGCCTGATCAGTGCTCGATAGCCATGAAAAAGAACCAACTGAAGGGTGATAAGAGTACCACTTGGCACAACAAGCGTACCATAAATGAGAAGGTCAAGTCTTAGATTAGGATTAATAGCCCTTCACTGAGTTGCAGTTTGTCATGGCCATACATTGCCACCATTGGGTACTTCCTTGTTGGGAGTACTTATTAAGAGTTTATTTTCATTGAAGCAGGGTCAACTAATACTTAGTTCAACATTGGCACACTCAGATGTTCAACTTTAAGTGGTTACAATTTCCAGTTTAATATATGCAATTCTTCTATGCCTAGTGTATATTCATCAAATCGAAGATAAGTTCCTCAAATCTTCGAGTTCTAAAGGCTTTTGGTCTTTTAGCTTTCTGTTTGCAGTTTTGGGCTTTTGGCCAATTGAGAGACCTGGTAACATTACATTATCAACTTATGGATTTCTGTTACTGTAAAAGAATATTTAGTTTTCAGTGTCCTAGTATTTGTACTGAAGGCTTTCTCCCTTCTATAAGCAAGAAAAATGTTGTGCTTGTATGGCAACACATTCAATGGCAGCTTACATTTTTCATAGTAAGCTGCTACATGTCTGATCTCAGTGTCGTTGAAGTGCGTATGTATGTTTTCTAATTTTCAGATATATTATTACTACATATTGCACATGCTTCAAAAGTTTTGACCAGTAGTGGGTGCTGGAGAATGGCAATTTTACTTGCGAGAGCGTATCTGCTGTAATGTGAGCTTGTTCTGTTCTCCGGGCGGTCCAGGAATTCAGTTTATTTAGTGATGGTTTGATAACAATACTGCTTGATCAGGTGTGCTGTGCCGTAGATATTGCGAGGTTTGTCAAAGCCTCAAACGAATTGGATGCTAACATTTTTGTCTTTTCGATGGTGCTAAATCTTGAAGGATCCTGTGATTACACTCTTCGGCACTCGCTTTGATGTCTGGGCTCTACCGGTCTAGGCACTGGGCAAGGCAGCAATCCAACCCAACGTTCTGAATCATTGGCAATGTCAGGACGCGCAATTTTCAATGCCTGTCAAGTTATGCCCTGTCTGAATGATTGCTAATATTTTAGCCGTAACATAGCCATAAAACAATTCTGCACCCCTACATCTACATCATCACCGTTGTTTATGCGTGTGTTAAACTAACGTTTTCATCTGACAGACCATGCAGTTCCCACATGCTGCAGGTTTTTATCAGGAACTCGGCAGTGCAAGAGAGTTTTTGTTCTCGCAGCAGGAAGCTTCCTGGGTGCTTCCTGTTAATATTCTGTAGATCGACTAGGGTAGATCTAGGCGGATGAACACTTGGATCCTTAAAGCACATTCACATCTAGACCTAGAATATTACACCGAGAGGGAGATAGGGTAGAGGTGCTGGTGTTGAACCTGAGCCTTCGGAGGAAGTCGCGGTTGAGCTGGCCATCGCTGGTTCGTTGATGGAGGCAGCACACGGGCAGCGATGGCTGGAGTAGAGGTTGCACGGACGTCGATGGAGTGCAGACGGACGGCGTGGCAGTGACGACGGTGAAGGTCAGCGAGCTTCCGTCACCGGGTGCAGCGCCTCTCTTAGATCGGTCTAGGGTTTGTCGGTGGGATTTGCGGCTCACGGTGAACCTCGTGCTTTGAGCCGCCGGCCCCCACATCTTTTTATAGCGCAGTGCGACGGGGGCCCACCAACCATGTAGGGTTGGGCGCCCCCGATCAGGGCGCGTGACCAAGACCCAATAGCCCATTGGGCTTATTGGTTAGGAGATCAATCTAACATTCTCCCCCTTGATCTCACTATTACTTTTATCTTTAAACTTTAAACTTCAATCCTTTTATCCTTACTCATTTCTTCACGGTGATGATGCATAGAGCATGTCTCATCGTCACGATCAATAAACCGCCGATAGATTTAATAGCTACAATGCACGTCTCGATCCGAAATAGTTACTTTAACTTTTGGGCTCTTTATAGTCCGGAATCATAAGCTTTCCCTTAAACCCATGCCGGCTATATGTTCTCTCGAACACGTTGGGTGGTAAGCCTTTTGTAAACGGATCCATGAGCATCTTTTTCGGTACTTATATGCTCAAGACTTATCATTTGATCCCGAACTTTATCCTTCACAACATAATACTTTATGTCAATGTGTTTGGCAGCACCACTTGACCTATTGTTGTGAGCATACTGTACTGCTGAATTATTATCGCAGTATAACTTCAGTGGTCTATTGATGTCGTCAACCACCTTCAAACCGGGTATGAACTTCTTTAGCCGCCACCTTTCCGCTGCCTCATAACAAGCTACAAACTCGGCATACATTGTGGACGATATAGTGACGGTTTGCTTTGAGCTTTTCCATGAAATAGCTCCCCCTGCGAGAGTGAACACATATCCAAACGTGGATTTTCTATTATCTCCCGCATAATCAGAATCTGAATATCCCACTATATGGAGTGAATTAGATCTTCTATATGTCATCATGAGGCCTTTCGTTCCTTGCAAATAACGCAAGACTTTCTTTACCAATTTCCAGTGTTCTATTCCAGGATTGCTCTGGAATCTGCCAAGTAACCCGGTAACAAATGCCAAGTCAGGGCGCGTACACACTTGAGCATATTGCAAGCTTCCGACAGCTGAAGCATATGGAATCACTTTTATTTGATCGATCTCATATTGGTTCCTAGGGCATTGAAAATCCCCATATCTGTCGCCCTTGACTATAGGAGCAGGTGAGGGACTACATTTGTGCATACTGAATTTTTTAAAGACTTTTTCTATGTATGCCTTTTGTGACAGTCCTAATACCCCTTTACTTCTATCTCGGTGAATCTCGATTCCTAGAACGAACGAAGCTTCACCAAGATCTTTCATATCAAATTTTGAGGACAAAAAACTTCTTTGTCTCCAGTAGTAGACTGACATCACTACTAGCAAGTAAGATATCATCCACATACAGGACAAGGAAGATAAACTTCCCATTCTTAAACTTTGCGTAGACACAATTGTCCTCAACATTATCTTTAAACCCAAAATTCTTTATTGTCTGATCAAACTTCAAGTACCACTGTCTTGAAGCTTGTTTTAATCCATAAATAGATTTCTTTAGGCGGCATCCCAAACGTTCTTTTCCTTCCATGACAAAACCTTTCGGTTGTGCCATGTAAACATTTTCCTCTAAGTCTCCGTTGAGAAATGCCGTCTTTACATCCATCTGATGTAATTCCAAATCGTAATGTGCCACTAATGCCATTATGATTCTGAAGGAATCCTTACACGAGACTGGAGAAAAAGTCTCATTGTAATCAATCCCTTCTCTTTGTGTAAAGCCTTTTGCCACAAGTCGGGCTTTATATCTTTCTATATTTCCTTGAGAGTCAAGTTTTGTTTTGTAGACCCATTTACAGCCTACTGTTTTGGCTCCTTTAGGAATTATCTCCAAATCCCAAACTTTATTTGCATTCATTGATCTCATCTCATCTTCCATGGCCTCAAGCCACTTTGATGAATGATCACTTTTCATGGCTTCTTCAAATAAGGTGGGATCATCCTCCATTTGAAATTCTTCAGTGTTGTACACTTCATAATCAGCAGGAATAACTGATCTTCTAACTCTTTGAGACCTTCTAGGGGCCTCCTCAATTGGCACATTTTCTGTTTGAGGCTGTTGTTGCTCCCCCTCATGTGTGGCAATATGTTCTATAGGATCCTGAGGCACATGTTCCTCATCATCATTCATTGTTGCCACAGGCGGGATAACAACAGGTGCTGGCACCACAGTGTCTTGTACTGTTGGTGCAGCAACAGCAGGTAGTGAGAAAAATGGCTCATGAATGATCGGAGTGGGTGCATACACCCGCTTCTCTTCAAGGTCAATTTCTCGAGATACCATGCTCCCCCTAATCATTTCATCCTCTAGGAAGACAGCGTGTCTCGTTTCCACAAACTTTGTATGTCTATTAGGACAGTAGAAACGAAAACCTTTTGACTTTTCTGGGTAGCCAATGAAATGGCAACTCACTGTTTTGGGATCTAGCTTCCCAATATTTGGGTTAAAAACTTTAGCCTCAGCAGGGCTCCCCCACACACGCAAGTGGTTAAGTGAGGGTACTCTTCCTGTCCACAACTCATACGGTGTTTTGGGCACCGACTTACTTGGTACTCTATTGAGAATATGAATGGCGGTTTTTAACGCCTCCATCCACAGACTCATCGATAAAGTGGAGTAACTTATCATACTACGCACCATATCCATCAGGGTACGGTTACGCCTTTCAGCTACTCCATTCTGCTGAGGTTCGCCCGGTGTTGAATATTGGGCGACTATACCATTCTCCTGTAAGAACCTTGCAAAAGGTCTAGGAACTTGTCCATATGGGGTATGCCGACCGTAGTACTCTCCTCCACGGTCAGACCTGACTATCTTAATCTTTAAATCATGCTGATTTTCAACTTCTGCTTTAAATATTTTGAATTTATCCAACGCTTCTGTTCTTTCTTTAATTAGATAAATATAGCCAAAACGAGAGTAATCGTCTGTGAATGTTATGAATGAATCATAACCATCTACACTTTTCACAGGAAAAGGACCACATATGTTTGTGTGAATAATCTGTAGAATTCCTGCGCTTCGTTTGGCATCTTTCTTAATTTTCTTTACATACTTTCCTTTTATGCAATCTCTACATTGTTCTAAATCTGAGAGCTCTAATGGAGGAAGAATATCATTCTTAACTAGTCTTTCTATTCTCCTCCTCGAAATATGGCCTAAACGACAGTGCCATAATTTCGACAACGCATCGTGAGCTCTCTTTCGTTTTCTGTTTCCATTGTTCGATGAGGATACATTTTCATTCACATCACATACGGAATTCACATTTTCATGAAGTGATAACAAATAAAGCTCGTCTTGTCGGAAGGCAAGACCAACACATTTATTATTAAACAATATCTGACATTTGCCATTTCCAAAATGGCAATCATAACCATCATGGTCCAACTTTGATACACTAATCAGGTTTCTTTGCAAAGAAGGTACATAAAGAACATCTCTAAGAAAAAGTATGAAGCCATCTGGAAGCTCTAGAGGAAGATCTCC